GACGAGACCACTACACGAAACGTCAGGCTTATAATAAACCTCTCCTGGTGAAGGCTCCTCTTTCTTCTGATCTCCCACCCGAGAATCGAATTTTCAGCACTATCATATAGATATTGCAATTGCATATTTCTTGTAGATAGGGACTTAGAGGATCCAACTGTTATTCTCCAATTATCGAATATATCGATAAACAAAGCGAAGGGCGCTTATGGCAATACAACACAGTCATGCTAGTCCAGTTAACTTATTCTCCTGACAGCAAGAACAGGTTTCATGTGCCAGGTAGGAGAATAACACGTATTATAGAGAAATTGGCAAATATTTTTAAACTCGCTTTCCAAAATGGCCGAAATTATGTCTGTAGCCGCTGATTTTTATTGAGCCGCAAACTCATATCAAACGTAACCGTTAAAGATAAGCCCTTAGGGAGTTTAGGACGAAAGGTTTATATATAAAGCACCCAGAGATATATAATGGACAAATGACTGCTAGGGATTTAACTGGGTACGGCAACATTAATAACTTCGTAAATTGTGATATTAAAGCAGTATGCGAGAATTAGGATAATATTTTAAATATTTCAGTAGTTCTGGTTTTCCACAAAAGGAAATTTTCAAGAGACTTCAATATATATTATATTCTGTTATGAAGTTCGTTAAGCAAGTCCTTCAAGCTGGCTCTGCAAGAATCAGTAGCAATGAGGTTTTTTTTGCTTTCAACGAAAAATATATTTATAACCCCTGATTATTTTGCAGTTAGCATTCTACGACGGATCCTGATGCAGCAAACGAAGGTGATCTTGGTACTTAAAACACGTCGGGTACGGGTACCGTAGCCTTCAGCACTGTACGCAAATAAAAAATTTTAAGGAAAAGTGAACATCTATGAAATTTTGATCAAAATATCTAGCATTTAGAATGAGTTGGCAAGGGGTGACGCGGTGTCAAAACGTTCCCAAACCCGAATCTTCCATCAAATCGGTAAAGTTTCCAATAGAACCACGTCAGTGCACTTTAAATATTTTATGGTCAAACTTTACGTCCAAGATCAACGATGCCACAGCATATATTACTCACAGTAAAATAGACCCTGGTCTACTAGGGCTTGTTTTACTAGGCCAAAGCATACATCGAACGAACTTGGCAGAAAGTTAACTTTGTTCTGGATGTGACAAGTTGATGTGAGAGCGGTCTCCGCTTAAATTGACCTTTTCCCTTTGTGTTTCTTAATGTAGGTTCATGTTGAAATCATTGCTTCGTTTATAACACTTTCGCTTCCACCCCTTATGATTTTTTTGGAATCACTCCGACAATATTTTGCGGGGTTTAGCGTGGTTTTCGTTTCAGTCCCTACTAAGAAAATGTCAACGATTGGACGAAAAAATCTTACGATTTCGTGTTTCAAAATCGTACGAATTTCGTACGAAAAAATCGTATGTCAAATTTCATTTGGACAGCGGGACGCTCACCTTTCACGAAAAACCCCCCATCCACGCGATATATCACGTAGCACTTTTTTTGAAGTCTTCTTGTAGTCCAGGAAAACTTTGTTATATAAAAATATCTGTAAAAAATTGTGTACAAAACATTTGATTTGGGTAATCGTCCCTCATCGTCGTAGTACTAGACTGTGGAAGGGCCTGGCTCCGGGTTATTTTCTTCCTCTGATTGGTGCTCTGAAAAAGGAAAAGTACTGGTTGAGAATACGCACCTTAAGATATTATTTGCGTGGCAACAGTATGTGTTCACTTACCGACAGGAATTTTTTCCTTTTTCAGCCTTAATGCACCTTCTGAAATACCTGTCATAGGCCTTCTTGAAGGTGTCCTTAAAGGCATCCTCAAAACACTGGCGATCTATTGGCCGGGAATCGTTGGCAACTGTATAAGCCTCTGATAGAAGGAGGGTTAGAATGAAATAGAAGCCCTTAGGCAAGATCACGTTATACGCCTCCGTTTCACGGAAGGCTTTCTTTCCCCTCTGCTGGCCCTTAAAAGAGAGCTCCTCCGTGATGCTGTCAGTTAGCAGGATCCGGAAAGCCCTGGTAACGTAAGCCGGCACATCATCAGTAGCTACAGATGCTAAGTGGGTCATCTGGTAACGTTAGATTAGGTTTTTGGGTAACTTACGATTCGTTGGCGATATTGTTTCCCTGATAATGCCTTGTGAAAGGCGTCCTGTTCGCTAATTGTTGACAGTGCACAAATCGCTACTTTCTTACAGCTAGGTAGACTAGCAATCCTTATTCCCTTCTTGGGACGCCAGTAGTGATAATGTCTGGATTTGTTTGTTATCGATAACAGAGGCAATAAACTACCGAACCTCACGGGCTGCTTCTTTCTGATGATGGACACTCTGAAGATCTGCTGATCCGTACGTATCTATCAGATACCCCAAAAACCATTCGGACTCGAATGGAATGCGAATCGGTTCTGTGTGACCAGTGTCGCCTGGAATATCTCCCTCCTTCGGGACTTAATGAAGGCCATCTTTATTTTTTTATCCCCTAGCTTCTTCTTAATGGGTGGTAACAAACTACCTAACCTCAAAGGGTGCGTTTGTCTGGTGACGGGTGCCAGTCGGGGCATCGGTCGTGGCGTCTCAATCGCCCTGGGCGAATGCGGTGCTACTGTATATCTCACTGGTCGCACTCTTAAGCCTAAAGGCGACGTTAAGGAAGGCGATGTTGGCGGATGTCTGGAGGAGACGGCTGCGGAGGTCACGTCACGTGGTGGGGTAAGTTTATATTCTCACGTAAATGGCTCTCTGTTCTCGTCTTTCGGCTTCTTCTTTTTCCCTTCTTCCTTACCAAAGTCTATGACATCGAGAACTCTAAATTATCTGCAGATATCGGATTTTAGTTTTGGATTACTGCTACGAGTAATTGGGGGCATTATTTGTATGGTTCATTTGTGAATAATTAGGACTTTTTAGTCGTATTGACGGCGCGTCTGTACGCCAATATATGTGGTTTTAGTGGATGTGCTGGGCATTCCTACCGTCGACTACACTCAGTCGTCTCTTTTTGCATAAATGGACAAGAGACCTTGCTGCCACTTTGACTGTCGTTGTCGATTATGTTCTTAGAGAACTGCACGTGATACTAAACTTGTGCAACATCTACAGCAATATCTCCTCTTCTTCCATATCAGCTTCTTATCATAACAGAGTCAAGAAGTAAGACGGAACGGTGACTAGGGCGTCGTTAACCAGCACCTAGGTGTGCCAACATATCCCCAGGTCTAGGCAAAAAGAATCAGACCCTAATTCGACAATAAGTGCCATAGGGAGCACAGTAAGGCCGCAATACATCCTAATGCTCAGTCCACCAGTCAGCCAGTCAGTGCAAATACACATGGAGCTCTCCGCGAGGTCCGTTATAACTAGCTGTGATTTGAAATACTTAACCATGCGATATCTACGGCAAAACATGTTTTTCCAATCCTTATGCGCTGTGCAAAGTGATTGTTTTTTCTGCGACTTAAACCGCAGACACATGCAGAAAATGTTGACGAATTTCTACGATTCTTCACAGCTTATCTTTAATGGTTTTAGGAATTTCGCATTGTGATCAGAACAGAGTTTATCCCGGAGAAAATGTTTATTTTTGTTTCGCAATGCGTCACCAGTCCATTCCTCTTCAACTTTGACAGGAATTAGGCAGCTAAGGAATCAATGATTGGGATGCTTTTCAAAATACTCCCAACATGAGTCCTATTTAAGTTCGTAGACATGTCGGTTTGCGTGCCACCCGAATCCGGTGCTTCCGTAGGTGCCTTTCAATGATTTTAGACATGTTTTTGACGTAAGTAAGGTTTCGCTAAGTGTGTGGCTTGGGCTTCCCGTTGCAACTACTTGAGTTCTTTTTCTTTGACTCTTGTCGTCTCACGCATTAGCGTACGACTTGTCGATGATAACCGTTTTGAAAAAAAAATAATTTGAGTAAGTAATTCAGTTCAACCTGGTAGCCTTCGATATCCAAACTGTGATTTTGCTCAATTCCATTATTAACAATACTCCGTTAATGAGACTATTACTCTACTAGTTTATGATGACTTCCGTATAGGTTTCCTTGCAATAAACAGTCGTGCGTAATGTTCCATCGACTTTTTACTGTGCAAGGACGTCGAGGAACGGGAGTTCGACGTCATCTAAGTTCTCAAGTGTGTATTTAATCCCAGGAATCGTGGAGTTGATTTTGTTGTGTGAGGTTTCCGGTTGATTCTTTCTTATGATAACGAAAGTATCGTCTTCATATCGCAGCCACAGCTGTAGTGTCGAGTCTCTGCAGTCTTACCTCAACAAGAAGGCCCGATAAGAGCTTCTCTCAGCTGCTGACATTATTTTTGTTAAATGAAATGGCTGTTCGTAAGCATAAGGTTCAGGCGTTCATGGAAAGGCGAAGTGCCTTATTTATTCTGCGCGCTGCCTTATTATATCGAGTGCTGTAGGTGTGAACAAGGAGACGAAATCTAAGAGGAGACCAGCGGAAATCGTGCTCCCTTGGAATTTCTCCTATGGACTTTGCCATTGAAGCTTCACAGTTTCTTGTAAGTGGGCAATGTAATGACAAGAGAATGAAAAGGTATTTTTACTCGTTAATCTACCGATAAAGATCGCCTTTTTGCCACTGCTTAGCCGCAATTTATGCTTTTCAATTATATGAGAGCATGTTATTTTATCCCCTCCTCCCCCATCGGGGTTAAGTTCCTTCGTCGGATGTACCATGAGAATGCGAGGTTGATCATGTGATCCAGCTGCTTACAGAGTTCCGCTCATGCAGTTAGATAAGACGCCACAAAATACTTTGCGCCATTACATCCTGCCTTTGTCTTTTTCGAATTTACTTTTGATTTTTTCCAGTCAAACATTTTCAAAAACGTAAGCCGAAGCCTACTTTAGCCTATATACTATTGTCTTTCTTTCCGACCCAGGTGGCTATTCCCGTGGCCGTCGATCACTCCGATGATAGTCAGGTAGTGAATCTCTTTGCACGTATTCGTCGTGAACAGAAGGGTCGCCTTGACCTCCTGGTAAACAACGCCTTCGCAGCAGTCGAATACATTGCTGCACACCGTGACGTGGGCTTCTGGGAGCTGGAGGCCGGGGAGACGGCTGCCACAGCCTGGGACATGGTGAACCGAGTGGGCCTACGCAACCACTACATCTGCGCCACTTTGGCCACGCGAATGATGCTGGATTATCGCAATGAGTTGAACAGCGACAGTGGCGGCAGCGACAGTGACAAGCGTCCGGGCCTCATCATCAACATCTGCTCCATCGGCGGTCTACGCTATCGCCTGAATGTCCCCTACGGTGTCGGCAAGGCTGCAGTAGATCGCATGGCTGCCGATATGGCCCACGAACTTCGCGAGAAGAAGAAAAGTGTCGCGGTACTTACTCTCTGGCCTGGTATGGTCAAGACGGAACACATGCTTCAGAAGCGCGATCCCCAATCAACCGTCCTAGAAGACTAGCCTCATGCGAAGGTCTCCGCGGTCTTCCCTACTTGGCTATCTGCGTACCGTGATTACCCCG